CAAGGAGGGGGGACGTCAGTCTACAAGCGCTTCGCGTCCTGCTGCTGCTGCTGCTGCTGCTGCTGCTTGTGCTGCTGCTGCTGCTGCTGCTGCTGCTGGTGACCAAGGCTCTTCTCAGAGCACAGATATGCAGCAAGGACTGCAGCAGCAGCTGCAGCAGCTGCATGAGGCTGCTGTGCTGCTGCAGCAGCGAGAGATGAATGTCGCCCTAAGGGAGTTAGAGTCAATGTACCTGCCGCTGCTGTGGGACAGTGACACTGCAGCAGAAAGCGGCAGCAGCAGCAGCAACAGCAGCAGCAGCAGCAGCAGCAGCCAGGTTGGTGTCAGCGAGAAGAGTGCTGCCTTGGCGCAGGACAACGAAAGCACCGCGNCAGCAGCAGCAGCCAGGTTGGTGTCAGCGAGAAGAGTGCTGCCTTGGCGCAGGACAACGAAAGCACCGCGACCAGCTCTAGCAACGACAGCAACAGCAGCAGCAGCAGCAACAGCTGCAGCAACAGCAACAGCAGCAGCAGCAGCAACAGCAGCAGCAGCAGCAGCAGCAGCTCGCAGTGCTGGAGTTTGCCTGTGGAGCAGTTGTTTGCATTGAAGAGACAGCGAGGAGACACTTCTGCTGCTTTAGGGGAGGGGAGATGGATCCCCTGGCCGGCGGGGCGTGAGGACCCCCCGTGTCTGCTGCTGCAGCAGCAGCTGCTGCAGCTGCTGCCGCCGTCTCACTCGAAACAGCAGCAACAGCAGCAGCAACAGCTGCTGCAGCAGCAGCAACTGCAGCAGCAGCAGCTGCTCAGCCTCTGGAGAACCGGACCGCCTGAGGCCGCCACTCCGCCTGGGCACCATGAAGCAGCACCAGCAGCAATAGAAGCAGCAGCAGCAGCAGAAGCTGCAGCAGCAGCAGCAGCAGAAGCAGAAGCAGCAGGAAATCTCAGCAGCATAATGCAGCTGCCGCCGCCAGTTTGCTTTTCCACTGAACCCAAGTCGGGGGCCTCACCCTTCGTGTGGAGGCCCTTACGGGGCCCCCGGGGGGCCCCCCAAGGGGCCCCTCAAGGGGCCCCCCTCCCGCAGACCGAAGCCACAGACGCCAAAGGAGAAGAACGCATAGAGCAGCAGCAGCAGCAGCAGCAGCAACAGCAGCAGCAGCAGCAGCAGCAGCAGCAGCAGCAGCAGCATGGGCAGCCACACAGTCCGCCGCAGCAATCTGTAGACGCACAGGACCTGCTGCAGCAGGGAATACAAGAGCAGGATATACAGCAGCAGAAAGTGCAGCAGCAGCAAGTGAAGCAAGAGGAACTGCAGCAACAGCAGCAGCAACTGCAGCAGCTCGAGGGACAGGGGCGGCAGCCGCTTACGCTGCAGCAGGCGGACCCGCAAGAACAGAAAGAACAGCAGCAAAAGCTGGAGCAGCAGCAGCTGTTCCAGCAGGAGCAGCAGGAGCAGCTGCAGCAGCAGCAGGAGCTGCAGCAGCAGCAGGAGTTGCTGCAGCAGCAGGAGCTGCAGCAGGAGCTGCAGCAGGAGCTGCAGCAGAAGCATGCTGCGAGCTGTGGATCCCCATTCAAGTCCTTTGTAAAGATGGCGGATGGCTCAGCTGGCAGCTGCTGCGGCCTCCTTGAGGCTTGAGGTTTGTCTATAGCAGCAGCAGCAGCAGCAGCAGCTGCTGCTGCTGCTGCTGCTGCTGCAGCTGCTGCTGCTGCTGCTGCTNGCTGCTGCTGCTGCAGTAGGAGTAGGGAATTTTTAATTCGCTGCTGCAGCAGCAGCAGCAACAGCAGCGGCAAGTCCTGTCGTTGCTGATGAGTGTAAGTAGAGATATAACGTTTGCTTATCATGAAGGAGTCAGCAGCAGCAGCAGAAGCTGCTGCTGCTGCATCATCGTTGCAGCAGCAGCAGCCGCCGTTGTTGGCGCTGCTGCAGCTGCTGCAGCTGCTGCTGCGTCTCGCTATGTAAAGAAAAGAGAAGCAGCAGATACAGCGCTGGTGTATTGTATAGACACACCTGGCACTAGCTAGAGTATGTACAGCATCTGTACCCTATGGGGGCCCCCCAGGGGGCCCCTGCTAGGGGGGCCCTTGTCTACCATCTGTGCCCTTGGGGGGCCCCCAATGGGCCCCCGTGAGGGGCCCCCCATGGGGGCCCCCCGTGGTGCTGGTGATGGCAGTGGGGGATTCTTTCTTTCTCGCTGTCTCGTTAGAGACGCTGACACGCAAAAATACATAAAATATAAATGTTTTATTTTATTTATTGTTTATAATAAAAAAGCAGAGAATAGTAGTTTTACCCACGGGGTGTTTGTCTATAAAAGCAGCAGCAGAAGCAGCAGCAGCAGCAGAAGCAGCAGCAGCAGCAGCAGCAGCAGGAACAGCAGCAACTGGCGCCAAACCCACATATGAACTGCTGTAGATACCCAGCAGACTGGGGCGAAGCACAGCTGGCGTGGAGACAGTATTATGCAGCCAGTTGCTGCTGCTGCTGCTGTTGCTGTTGGTGTTTTTGCTGCTGCTCCCGGTGATGTTGCTGCTGCTGTTGCTGTTCCTACTCCTGGTCCTGCTGCTGCTGCTGCTGCTGTTGGTGCTGGTGTTGTTATTGTTGTTGCTGCCCTATGCAATGTTGCTGTTGCTGTTGCTATTGTTCTTGTTGCTCTTGTTGCTGTTGCTGCTGCTGCTGCTGCTGCTACGGCGGGGAGCGGAGCAGGTATTGACTTGCTGCCGCGGGTGGAAGATTAGGGCCCCTACAGGAGGGCATAACATCTCAAGCAGCAGCAGCAGCAGCAGCAGCAAACGTAGACAGCAGCACTACCAGGCCGGAGGCTTACACTAGTAGCCTTCCTACAATTCGTTGCATGTGTAGAAAGGCGTGGAGACACACCGCTGCTGTCTCCTTTTTTTGTAGTGTCTCCTCACTCAAGAGACCCCACACACGTTCGTGTCTTGCCGTAGCTTGGGGACAGACCGCCAGGTCCCCTTTCGCTCCGCGCTGTCTCCGCAGGGCCTCATAAAGGCAGAGACAGCCAAGCAGAGCAAAGAGCAGGCATACAACACGGACGTGTTGGGGGAGGGGGAGCGGGTGAGGAGACTGTCTCTTTCTTCTGGCGTGCTGCTGTATGAGCAGGAGACCCGTGGGGGTGTGTGTCATGTGTGGGGTGTTAACACTTCTGGACACCCCACTCGAGCGCGCAGAGACGATCCCAACGTTCCCTGTATTTCTTCTCCTTCTCTGTGAGATGAGCTGAGTAGCCGGCGCTTAGTTTGTCTCTATTCAAATACTTGGTTGGCTACGAGGGCATCGCCCCAACTGCTGTATCGCTGGCAGCGGCTGCTGCACGGGAGAAATGTTTGTCAAGATCAAGGGGCACAAGGACTGGAGATGAGAGCCGGTTCCTAATAGGGTTTAGGGTTTTAGGGTTTAGGGTTTAGGGTTTAGGGTTTAGGGTTGAGAGTTATTCTCCCGTAGCCGGCAAAATCCATCTGAAGGGGATTTATTAAAAGGGGGGAAATTATAGTAAAGCCATCGATGAAGCTGTGGCTGTACAGTGCGAGACCAGTGGACTTCTCAGTCTTAGCCGTGCAAGTGTAAGGGGGTAACGGCCCCGCGTCCCAGTGGCCTCTATCTGTGCTGGGGGGGTTTACAACCCCACCATAGTAGATAAAAGAAACCCTCATAAGCTAGCTGCCGCCGTGAACAGCGAACACTGTTGTGCTTCTCATGTAGATGTTGCAGCGCGCACCGCAGATGCTGCTGTAGATACACCCGCATACTACTGCTAAGCACAAACACCACACCCAGGTATACATATACTCATCCATCCCCTATTGACTGGCCAGTGAACCCATAGTTAAACTTTCTGTTCAGCTCTGTACTTGGATTCACAAGTTTACTCAACTTTGCTGTGGCGGGGAAGGAATTTCTTCTTGTGCCTCTCACGGAGATGAAGGGGGAGCAGCAGAAACTCGAGACTGCTGCACAGTGCATGCATGCAATCATTTCTTCAGTTCTGGGCATCTGTAACTTCCACTTTACCTGAATTTTGTTGACGAGCTTATCTATCGTCATATTTTTTTCACTGGCACCGAACTGCATCCAAGCGCGCTGGTTGCCGGTTGATGCATGCACAGTCTACGTTGCTCTTCTGTTTGCTCCTCAGTCTACGCTTCACGAGATGGGGGTTGCAGCTACCTTGGAGCATAGCTGCTCCGCGAGCAGCTGCGCTCCATGGTACCAGCGAGACCCCCAGTGCGGGGCGCCTAGCATCCTGGGTGTCCAGCGGGTGGCCTGACCGCTGGTAGCTCCTCGTTATTTAAAATATCTGAGGGCGCTTCCTTATACTGCGGCAATTGCTGCTGGTCTTTGGGCGTTAAAAATACAGTATTATTCCCGCAATTCGCTGTCTTCGTAAGACCATCACGACAGAGTGCATGCATATCTCGATCGCCCCCGAAACAGTCCCTGCATAGCGTAAGGAGGCCGTCACTGCTCTTTCCTTGGGACCCCGTCTTCACACATCTTACTATAGGGAGCCATGCAAACGCCATTGGGAGCGGTGCGATGTATACAGCCTCATCACTTCCTGGCGCATGCGTCATGATCATGCCGTCACGGGGGCTCATGCATGCCTGCATCTCCACCCTCTCCTGCGTCAGCTGCAGCAGGCGTAGGGGGTTGGTGAACCAGCTAGACCTGCTCTGTACTATCTCCTAATTCGGAATTGATTTCGCTCTCTACGTTCATACGGTTGCTGATTCTCCTGCGCTGTCTGCCATCCGCGAGGCGTAGATCCAGCGACTGCACCAACGAATAGATGCACAAGTTGCAGCTCCCCACCAGAGCTTTATATCTCTGTTCCACGCAGCAGCCTGTATCAAGTAGCGCTAGCAACTCCTGAACATTTCTGCGGACTTGGGTAAACACACAGATGAGTGTAGGTGGGCTGTCACCTATTTTGGCTTCAGCACTGCGGTGTTTGCCGTGCATGGGGGCGCAGCAGTTCACCCCATCATTTTGTTTGTTTCCCTGGCGGCTCTGCTCGAAGCGTTGCTTCTCCACTCCCGTAGAAGTATTGGTGCGGCTGTAATAGAGACTCATACAGCCCCGCTTACTGCAAAAGAAGAAGCGCCACTCAGGACGCTCCGCTGAGTTTCTGGTTTCTGCATTTCTTCTTTGCTGTCTATAGCTGCTTCTTATCCTTTTCTGTTGGGGGCTGGCATTCACAGCTGCAATGCCCATACACCCCAATTCTCGGGTATTTCAGAGCCTGCTTTCTCCCTTCTCAGCTGTGGCTGTGGGGTGGAGGCTGCTCTCTCTTGCATGCGTACTAAATACACGATCGTCTCATCGCATGCAACCCTCTCATCCCCTTCTCTCCTCGGCCCAGCTGGCTACCACTTGTGTCTCCGGCGGGAAACCCGGCTACTAACCATTGGTATAGAAGCTCAGGGTCTACCACTGTGTCTCTGTTCACAAAGAACTGAGACTTCTCGATGTAGCACTCTATCGATAGCTGCCGTTGTTTAAGTTTTCTGTTGAGAATACTTTTGTATGTTTGCCCGTCTTTGTTGGAGTGTAGCGTCTATGCTGGCTGCAGCAGAGTGTCTCCCGTGCTCAGGTGTAACCACCACCATCATCATTTATATTTTATTAAAAAGATGATAGTAAACACAATAGATATCTGGCTGCATGCATGTGAAGACAAAAGTATAAGCCTAGAGAACTTCTCCTCTGTCTCCGCATCACTGGCAGTATCAGAAACCCTCCTGATGAATTTTTTTTAAAGAAAAAGTTTTCTTCGCTGGCTAGCTTGTTGATGAATATTTATAATATATATAAATATATTATAAATATTTAATAAATTTAATAATATTTATAATATATTTATATATATATATATATATTATATATATATATATAATATAATTATAATATTATAATATATTATAGAGTTTTTTATTCTATCTTTATCGTTTACTTTTTCAGTATACATTTGCTGCTACTCACTGCTATTGCTATTTTTATTTTGTGGGGTTCGTTCCTCGTAGCTGCCCCCATAAGCCAACAAACAAAAAAACAAAACAACAAAAGAAAAAAACAACAAAAGAAAAAAAGAAAAAAACAACAAAAGAAAAAAACAGCAACGAAACAAAAGTAATGTAGTGGAGTAGTAATGCGAGTCCTTTATCTTACTGAGTATGAGCGGAAGTGAGATGCAATATATAATATATTATATTATATTATATTATATTATATTATATTATATTATATTATATTATATTATATTATATTATATTATACGAAATACAATATAAATATAAACAACAACAGAGTAGATACACTCAAGCCAGGCGTTGCCAGCCAGCAGCAACTGCGCCCCCATACAGCTGGGCCCGGGGGCCAATGAACGCAGCTTGGGGGCGAGGAGACAGCCAGAGCTTAGCGGGGCCTCAGCCTGCTGCAGCCCGTGCTGCAGCTCGTGCTGCAGCTCGTGCTGCAGCACCAGCTGGTGCTGCAGCTCGTTCTGCAGCTGCTGCTGCAGCTGGTGCTGCAGTACAACCCCACATACAAACACAGTGAAGCCGGGGTAGTGCATACACCATAGACAAGCCTTGTCTTCTGACGCTCAGGAGAGACAGGAGACACACAAAGAAATATAAATACTAACACCAAATGCTAAGTATTCCTGCTGCTGCTGCTGCTGCTGCTGCTGCTGCTGCTGCTGCTGCTGCTGCTGCTGCTGCTGCTGCTGCAGGTGCTCGCTGTGTGTCCCTGCACGGTTGCTGCTCGCAGCTCATAAGACAAGGGCTTGGTGGCTGTTGCTTCTGCTTGTTGATGAAGTTTAATATTACAAAGAAAATAAAAAACAAAAAAAGAAAAAATATAAAGAGACAAAAAAACACCAGAGCAACCGACAGCGAGAAGGGAGGGGGGAGAGTGCAGCCGTCGGCGTCACGCGGGAGCTGAGCTGCTGCTGCTGCAGCAGCAGCAGCAGCAGCAGCAGCAGCAAACTGACTAAATAATATATATTTTTTCTTTTTATTTACATTAAAAAAACATTAAAAACACAAAGTTTAAGAGAAAAGATAACCAGTGCTCGCCTGCGGCTACAGACCGCGGAGCAGCAGCAGCAGCAGCAGCAGCAGCTCTTGCTGCTGCTTCAGAGCAGAGCAGCAGCAGCAGCAGCAGCAGCAGCAGCAGCAGCAGCAGGAGCTGAAACAACAGCAGCAAATGAAATAAAATAAAACATGCAACGAAGACTTTCTCGGGATCCTTCTCGGGGGCTTTTTTTTATTTAAATTTCTCTTTCACTCTCTGCAGCGCCAGCTGGACCGGGGAGCGAGAGCAGCAGCAGCAGCAGCAGCAGCAGCAGCAGCAGCAGCAGCAGCAGCAGCAGCAGGAGTTGTAGAGTGAAGCAGCTAGATTTGAATTATACTTCTGCTGCTTTTCCACTCGGAGAGTCTCCGAAGGGAAGCAGCGTTTTTGCTGCAGCAGCAGCAAACTGATGCAGCAGCAGCAGCAGCAGCAGCAGCAGCAGCAGTAGTAGCCTTAGCAGCACGAACAATCGCTGCAGCAGCAGCAGCAGCAGCAGCAGCAGCAGCAGCAAGTTGCTGCTAGGATCTTCCTTCTCTGTCCCCCTCTTTTTTAAACTCATTTAGGCCCAAGGCATCCGCAGCTTAGCTGTGTGTGTAGCGAACACTGCAGCAGCAGCAGCAGCAGCAGCAGCAGCAGCAGCAGCAACGACAGCAGCAGCAGCAGTTGCTGATCGACCGCATGGACGGAGCAGCAACTGAGAGGCAGGGAGGGCCTCTTGGCTTCCCCTCAGCTGTATCTGGGTTGACGCCTCGCAGTGCTGCTGCTGCTGCTGCTGCTGCTTCTGCTGCTGCTGCTGCTGCACCTGCTGCTGCACCTGCTGCCGAGTCAATGTCGGCGAAGCAGCAAACAGATATTCACGGAGGTCGGTCTTCGCCACGGCAGCAGCAGCAGCAGCAGCAGCAGCAGAATCATCAACAGCAGCAGCAGCAGCAGCAGCAGCAGCAGCAGAATCATCAGCAGCAGCCGCAGCAGCTGCAGCAGCAACAGCACCGCGGGTCCCTGCCTGTGGGTGCCCCCGAAAGAGGAGACGCAGCAGCAGCAGCAGCAGCAGCAACAGCAGCAACAGCAGCAGCAGCAGCAGCAGATACACCGGATCGTCACAGCGTTCCCAGCAGCAGCAACGAAGACAATACACAGCGTATACACCACCACTCTCACCAGCATCATCATCATCAGCAGCAGCAGCAGCAGGAGCAGCAGCAGCAGCAGCAGGGTCC